GGCCACCTGTTCAGCCATCAGTCACTGAGAGGGAAGATGAAGCTTTCCTGAAAGAGAGATTCTGAGGGATCCAGGAACTTTGTGTGTGTGTGTGTGTGTGTGTGTGCGCGCGTTCATCAACTCCAAATGGGTGCATTGTTTGGGCACCAAAGCGTGCATGATAGTTCGGATCTGGCTAATAGCCGAAAGAAAAGAACAAGGGATGCGTTCTTGCTTCAGGAGAGATGACAAGGGCACTGATTCCTAGGCACCATGGCTGAAACAGTAGCTCTGGGCCTGTAATAAAAAATAATGCCCTCCAAATTTGGGTACATTATGCAGCTCTCCAGCGCATGCCTGCAAAGCTCCTCCCTCCATTATTTAGTTCATGCCCTCCGGTTGAGAATTCAGGAAGGCTTTTAAGCAGGATTGGCCCCTAATCTGGAGCATCCTTGACGATTTCCTGTTAGTTGTAAGCAAAGCATGCAAGGGCCTGGAGAGAAACCTCAAAATAGAGGGGCGTGTTTGCGCGTACGCAGACCTATACACTAAGGTGACCAACTTTTTTACAGTGAAAAGGAGGACACAAAAAAATTGAAGAAAAAATTATCGTAAATAAAAGAAACATTTTATTCATTGCAACAATAATACAGACAACTTGCAATGTTTGCCAGCCAGGTGTTTTGGCGCGCTCAGCAGCAATTCCTATTGGCTTTTGAAAGCCAATAGCGGGAGTAGCACAGCTCATGCAAAAGTTGAAAAAAAAAAACATCAAAAAAAGGTGCTGGAACGCTGTTCTGAGCGTTCTATGAGAAAAAAAAGCCCTGCAGATTAGTCTTCAAATATCGAAAAGGAGGACATGTAGGAGGACACTTTTCGAGGGAGGACAGAACTTACAAAAGGAGGACTGTCCTCCCTAAAAGAGGACGGTTGGTCACCTTATATACACACCAAATGGGTAAATTTTTCAGGAAGGCATAATAGCCTATATTGTAATAACTGGGATTTTGTTCTCGTTGAAGATCATCCTGTATCTTATGTGGCCCAACCCTTTGAAGTCCCACAACTCAAGAGCAGATTAATAGCACCATGCCATTGCTGAGACTGCTTTTCCCCTTGCCCAATCAAGGTCAAATTAAGATAGGAAAATACTCCAGTCCCACCCCCAAAAAACTAGACTATATAAAGCTAATAGGAACTCTTCCTCCTCCCCCCTCCCTTCTTTTGGGCAAGGCGCATGCTTGTGTACTTGGGTGTAATACTAATTTTTCAACAAGAAAATGACAGAGGAATTGCTGACTGGCTGAATTTTCCATGCGAGCCTTTGCTGGCCGGGCACAAGAACACACAGCCCAACGCGCCCTGCTCCAATCGCTTGCTAATTTCATTATTTCAGACTTTTATGGTTTTTCCAGTTGGTGCTGCTTTTATAAACAAGCATTTCAGTGACCTTCCCCTCCGGACATCAGCGTTTTCAGCTCTGCAAGAATCTCAAGCTCTGAAAGTTTATAAATAAGCCTTCTATCAAGTTCCACAACAGGTGTGACCTCCCCCCCATGTCCTAAAACTGAACAGTTTCAACAAGCAAATAAAGACGGCTCAAGGCTGCCCTTAAAGGGGACGCACACCCAGAGAGAACGACACTGCTGTACTCTGGCGTCTACCATGGCTAAAGGCAACACTTTGGAAAAGGTGGCCAGAGGGTGACCCGACACGCAGCTGATTCCCCCAGATGTTATGCTTTTAGTGATGTCCTGCCAGAGCTTTGCTTTTCAGTGTCCAGCCTTGGGAAAATATTTATTTCTTTTTCAATTTCAGTTCCCCACTGACTCAGTGGGTTCCCACTGCAGGTTATAAAGGAAGGAAAAATACCCCATCTCTTTTTTTTAAAAAAAAAAACTCCGTCTAAGAGCAATGAGCAATTGAAACATCCGTAAGTAGATCTGTGGGTCACTTTTGTGTATTTCTTTTGTGTATGGCAAAAGAAGAGTATTTCTGCAAGCTGTCGCAGAAAAGTAAGACGCCTTGTTCCAAACATTTTACAAATTTCCCTGTGGTCTTGGTTGCTGTTTCTTTTGCCTATGTGTGCAAATTGCCACTCGATTGTACAGTGTCTTTAATGGGAAGAGACAAATACATGAAGCCAAAGCTTATACACTTTAGTAACAACAGTAACATGGAGCATCTAGGTTCAGAAGCAAGAGGCCTCTGAAGAACAAGCAAGAATAGAGAACAAAACATTCATGTTTAGATGTCCCTGAATATTACTGCTGAGATCCGTCTAAAGAATTCAAACCTACTTCTTCACTTCCCAAATGCCACTGCCTGACAGTTGTGGAAAACAGAAGCTAGTCTGGGTACACTTTGGCACACCCAGTACAGAAGCCTTTTTTCTGTTTGCATATTTTTCATCTTCAGGACTGCTGCAGCTAGAAGTGTACGCTGGAAAGTCCATCGCTCGGATCTCATCAATGAATTGGCTATTATCTTTTGGGCAAAGCTCTCTTTCCCTCAACATTGGCTTGTCCTCTATAATATGAGAATATCAATTCTGATTCATCTTAATCCCCTTCCTCCTTTCCATTTTTTTGAAGAGGGCAGGGTCTTACACCACAACCTGCAACTCAAACTGTTAATTGGGATGGAATGTTTTGGCTTGGCACAGGCCTGTGTCACTGTGGTTCACACTATGCTGGTACCTAAGAGTGAAAGGGACTCACAAAGTCTTTGGTGAAATAATGGAAAGATGAATGAACGGATGGATTGCTCCCTAAAAATGTCTCTGTTGTCTATATGGTAGTATGTTGTTGTTGTTAGTTAGTTGCGAAGTCATGTCTGACCCATCGTGACCCCATGGACAACATTCCTCCAGGGCTTCCTGTCCTTTGCCATCTTCTGGAGTCCATTTAAGCCAGTGATTCTCAACCTTTCTAATGCCGTGACCCCATAATACAGTTCCCCATGTTGTGGTGACCCCCAAGTGGGTGTGGCCACCAATAAGAGGGAGTAGGACAGCTAGGGAAAAGGGAAAAAAATGGCGGACAGCATGGTTTGGTGACCCCCGTGAAATGGTCATTCGACCCCAAATGGGGTCCCGACCCACAGGTTGAGAACCACTGATTTAAGCTCATGCCTACTTCTTCAGGGACTCCCTCCAGCCACCTCCTTCTCTTTCGTCCCCTTCTTCTCTTGCCCTCCATCTTTCCCAGCATCAGGCTCTTCTCCAGTGAGTCCTTCCTTCTCATTAGGTGGCCAAAGTCCTTGAGTTTCAACTTCAGGATCTGGCCTTCTAAAGAGCAGTTGGGGTTGATCTCCTCTAGGACTGACCGGCTGGATCACCTTGCAGTCCAGGGGACTCGCAGGAGTCTTCTCCAGCACCAGAGTTCAATTCTTTGGCGCTCAGCAAAAATATATAATATATATAAGTATATGGTTCTGAAAAAGATGATAATTTTAAATTGGTCCTGCTCTGATGATTCTGGGCTTACAATTATAAACAAATGTCCTTCAAAAAAAAGAAGAGTTAGATCTCAAACAGCAGACCCATTTCTGACATGTGATGGAAGAGATTTTTGGTCCTAAGAACATTGTAAGTGCTCTTCTGAGAACAATAAGAGCAGCCATTTGGCTCATGGCATGTCCTCGTCCCCCTTAATGTACTTTGCTGTCTCGCCCCAGAGACAGCTAATGATTTCTCCAACACAACAAGTTGCAACAATGGATACATCATGCCAAAACTATCCAAAATCCGCATCAGTTGATGGGATTCATCCATCAGACGGTTACGTCTTGTGCTGTTTTTAAGCAAGAAATCTTTTTAGTCCCATTTCTTACATCCAGTGAATTCACTTGCCACTGAGGGGCAGGCAAAATACGCTGGAGAAATGCCATTATTTGAAACAAGGCCTTGAAAGCATCAGTAAGAACTTGCGTACATGGGGCAAAATTAGTCTTAGAGAACATTTTTGAAACTCACTCAAGAAGCATTAAATACCAAGACCTTGCCACTGTTATTCTTAAGAAACAGAATTGGCTCCATGCGGTACTGAGTCTTCATCTAAAGGGGATCACGCTCTGCTTTAAAGACCACATTCACACCTTGGGGTTCCTTCTGGAGTCACACCTCCTGCTGGAGGAGTGGTTGGTAGAGGCCAAAGTTAGAATGGATTTCCTCCAGCTTCGACTACTACAACAATTGTGGACTTTCTTAATCCTGGAAACCCCTTCTGTAATTAATCCATGCTCTTACAACCATGTGCATAAACTATGGTGATCTGCATGCAGTAAACTTTGAAGACAACTTGAAAGTACAATGGATGCAAAATATGGTCTTTGTAGGTCTAGCAGTACACCACCATGAAAGTGCGTGTCCCATACGTATTGAGGAGCCACGGTGGCGCAGTGGTTAAGATGCAGTATTGCAGGCTAAATGTCCACAGCCAGGAGTTCAATCCTGATCCTCAGCCTTTCATCCTTCCGAAGGCGGTAAAATGAGGACCCAGTTTTTTGGGGGGCAAAATGCTGATTTGGTAAACCGCTCAGAGAGGGCTGTAAAGCACTGCAAAGCGATATATAAGTCTAAGTGCTATCACTATTGTGAGATCTCTGTTCTCCTTGCATTCCATGGTTAAGAACTTTTATTTCTACATGCATACAGAGACCTGGACAGATTTTGTTTTTGGAACTGGTTGAGTTTTTCCTGTTATTTTAGGAGGAGTTGTGATGTGAGGAGAAGGTTTTATTGTTGTGAGCTTTATATAAACTGTCTTGTCCCTCTGAAACCAACAACTTAGAAACTTTTTAGTGAACAAATGAATGACTAAACTAGAAATAAAATAGTAGTAGTTGTAGTCAATGTAGCTATCTACACTTAATGACGGCATTTGCGCAACACAATAAATTCTTAATCCATGTTAATAAAATAATATTGCTGTTGTGGCCAAACAAATAAAATGTGTTACAGCTTAAAGCCTGGTTCATACAACAAACTAACACAGCATACTGTCCCCATTTTAGCCTAGTTTAACACATTTATTGAAAGTGGTTCTGATGGGCAAGTTAATGTTACACTTTGATTTGGCATAAGTATACACCACTGAACAATGGAACTTACTAATTTAGCATAGAATCTTATTTTTAAAAAGCTCTGATAAAATATTGTGTGTTATTTTGTGCACTGTTGATGTACAAGACCATCTATAGTGCATTTTAAGGAATCATGTCTGGGTGTCTGTGGAGATTCTCAGTCAAAAAGCTTCATCAGTTCTGGCTAGCTAAACATTGTCTTCTTCTTCTTCTTCCTCTTCCTCTTCCTCTTTCTCTTCTTTTCTTCTTCTGAAAAAAAAAAAACAGTCCAGTTTGAAAAAGCACCTTTGAGACAACCATGTCTGTAGCTTTCCCCAACTTGGCATCCTTCAGATGCATCGGCCTTCAACTTCCATAACAACCTGTCAACTTGATCAACTAATTTTTGACCTACTGAGATCCCATTTGGTCATGTTTAAAGAGCACTAAAAGCCTTCTTGGGCAGAGGTAAAGAAACATCAGAAATCTGAAAGTGAAACCTTTGTGTACAGTTACAATTTTGAATAGGTTGACCTAGGGAGAGAGTGGAGATCTTGAAACAAAATGCGATTTTGGAGACTGGAATTTTTCATTTGGTTTAAGGCTTATTTATAGTTTTAAAATGAATAAATAATACACAATTTATTCATGCTAAATACAATTAATGCTACAATCTTATCCTTCCTTACAGTGGAATACAGCTCCACTGGATTCAATGGGACTTACTTCACTAGTAAATGTATACATATCAGTGGATATTGCTGATAAGGACAGCAGAGATCTGGATAGATCACTCAGTTTGTCCCAGTCTCATCCACTAGTGGAATGCACTTAAAACAATATTTTGTTCATGTTTTAGTGCAGTGGTTCTCAACCTGTGGGTCGGGACCCCATTTGGGGTCGAACGACCATTTCACGGGGGTCGCCAAACAACGCAGTCCACCATTTTTCCCCCTTTTCCTAGCTGTGCTACTCCCTTTTATTCTATTGGCTTTTGAAAGCCAATAGAATAGACTCTCTTGAATAGAGTCTAATTCTATTGGCTTTCCAAAGCCAGTAGGAATTGTCCAGGCTGTCTCTGCCCTGCTGAGCCCGCCAAAAGTCCCATTCTGCAAACGGTGCTGCACCCGTTGAGTAGTCCTAGACTTACGACTGGTTGAGTAGTCCTCAACTTATGACCGGCTGGGGGTCGCGGCATTAAAAAGGTTGAGAACCACTGTTTTAGTGAGCAAAGACAATGACTCTGGGGTGGAATTTTATGACAGGTTTCCATTTTTTCCCCAGTTCTGCTCTTTCATTTGATAGCAACTAAGGATATGTTCTACTTCTTGTACCCTCTATTTTTTTTTCCAAAATGTGGAAGGGAAGAAAGGCTGAGTTCAGTGGTGTGATCAAGAGTGAGCGGAACCCATACATGAAACCCGGCGTGCATCCCATCTTACCTACACCACCACCCGCCATTTGAAATTAAGAACTCTGGCTGCAATTTGTGCGACCGATTAAGAAGGTTGCTTGCAAAATAAATCTACGCTTGTCGTGCTCCTAAATTTCTGGCCGCACCAGCAGAGCAGGGCTGGAGGGAGGCCGCCATGTGCTTGCAAGCAAATATAGACAACAAATTAAAAACGATACCATTTTTGACAAAGTACTAGGCAGTAGTTGAAATATAATGAGGCACTTGTAGACAAATGCCCCTCCACCGAGTGAGCATTTGCTGGGTGGATTAAGCAGCATTCCTCTTCTGCTATTGAGTGGTGTCACAAGCTAATAAATATTTCAGAATTGGCTGTATTCAGTCCAGCCCTTGTCCCGGTTGACGTCTGTTCTCTCAGTTTTCAGAAGGAGACAGGTGCAGAAGGATGAAAAGGGATTTAATTACTAAACATCCCCAACTCCCTGTAACTCTGAAACACATGCTGTACTTTTTACTATGTGCCCAAACATACACATACACGCACCCAACTGTAGACACACGGTTTTTGAACATGATTGTCTCTACCGCATACTCAACCTGTGTAGGGCAGACTTACGTAGCTCTGTGAGTTAGATGGGTGGACTATAAATTTGATTGGTAAATAAATAGTTACCGTACACAAGTATTTGCAGTGAGAAAACGCTGTTCCATTTTACCTGACTTTGGGGGGCCTGTGTTTTTTCCTTTGGAACTGTTAACTACATGCCACGTTGAGATATTTTAGCAGCTTACTCATCGTTTCCCCAAAATAAGACCGGATCTTATATTAATTTTTGCTCCAAAAGACGCATTAGGGCTTTTTTTCTGGTTAGGTCCTTTTCGGGGAAATACGGTACTAAATGCGTCCATCTGGCTGATGATCTTAACTGGGTCTTTTTGGGGGGATGGGGCTTATATTACGAGCGTCCTGAAAAATCATGCTAGGGCTTATTTTTCAGTTGGGTCTTATTTTGGGGAAAACGTGGTACGTGACTTAGCAGCGTGCACAATTTTGGTACCCCATCCAAATAAAACAAAAACATTGAATGTTCGGCATTAGATTCAGATATCTGATTCCTGGTGGTTAAGATATAAGGATTTTTAATTCCAATTTTCGGCAAACCTGAGTTAAAATAATTGTGTAGCTCTACCGGAACTCCCAATGAAATTGGTCTGGGATAATTAATATATAGACATAGAGACAGAATAACAGAATTGGAAGGCACCTCAGAGATCTTCTAATCCAGCCCCCTGGTCGAGGAGACCCTATACCATTTCAGACAAGTGATTATCCACTCTCTTCTTCAGTGTTGGAGCATTCACCGCTTCTGGAGGCAGTTTGTTCCACTGGTTGATTGTCCTCACTGTGAGGAAGTTTCTTCTTAATTCCCGGTTGCTTCTCTCCTTGATTAGTTTCCATCCATTGTTTCTCATCCTGCCTTCTGGTGCAAGATCCATTTGAGTGGATATGCTCCACAGAGTAGTTGTAGGAAGATGGAACTGGGTGCCCTTTGCTCATTTCAACTCTTTGGCTACTCTGGAGATTGGGACTTTTCCAGTTGTGATTGACTGAGGGTTTATGTTTTAATGCCCCAACGAAGCACTGGAGGACATACCAAACTCTACCCTAACAGCACGGATTCTGTGCCAGAGACCTCTGCAAGTAAAAAAATAATTCCTCAAATATGCTTGTTTGCGCCTGTGCAAAGAAGATGCCTTTCTTTGATTTCTGACTGAAGAAATGAAGCGGGAATGAAAAGCTACCTTTAGGGTCTAAATTCTAGCACTGTTAAAAGGAGGCTTATGTTTTTTTTCCCTTCCCTTATCTTTTTAAATTGGTTGCCTTAGTATGGGCAAAGATCTTATCCGAAAGCTGCAACTTGTCGAGATGACGCTAAATGCTAAAGAAAGTACAAGTGATGGATGAGCGGAGCAGATGGTTTTGTGTCTGGTCGAAGGAAGAGAAAGTGTCACCCAGGTCCAATAGAGAATAGCATCGGATGCAGATCTTGGTTAATTAGTACATCAGAAAATTGGGGAAGAGGAGGAATTGTGTATCTTTTGAACAGGGGCTTTTAAAGAGGCCCATGAATTATTAAGGAGTAAAACTGCTTTCTTTTGTGTTTTACTGGAGTTAACCTGGGGAGACTTGCCCGCATGGTACTTCTGGACATATGTTCACAGTTAATAAGCAGTGGAAGGCAGAGCCAAGCAGATGCAAGAAAACTTAATTTGGGGGCCAGATTTTATACCCGATCCTCTGCAGTCGCTGCTGTTTGTTGTAAGGGTGAGAACGAAAACGTGAAATCCAGGGGGGCCCAACCCTACATTGGAGACTATCCTCTGACAACTCACAGAGGCCAACTCGCTGTTGGACAAGAATTACACTGATATCAAAGAAAGGGTGGAACAGAAGCACTAAAGAACGGGTGCAAAAGGAAGGACAGAATAAAATACGAATGTCAAAAATTAAAATATATTTTTTTCACTCATTTTAAATCATTAAGCTGAATTGTTAAATGGTCCCGCATCGCCTTGTCCCATTCTGCTTCGCATCCTGTCAACCTCGCCCGATGCTGCCTGCTCCCCTTGGAGCCGAACCTGAGCTGCCAGACCTCATTGTTTAAGCTGGGATCTTTGGAATAAAACTAGGTGACGGATCCCTGCAGAACCACCGCCTCAGTATTATGGGTGTGGAAGCACCCGAGAGGTCGGTTCCAGATCAGCCACGGACTTACACTTATGACGGTTGCTGTGTCCCAGAGTCATGTGATCCCCTTTTGCGACAAGCAATAGGGGAAGCTAACTTATCAACTGCAGTTATTCGCTTAACGACTCCGGCAAGAAAGGTCGTAAATGGGGCAAAACTCACTTGACACAGGTCTCATTTAACAACAATTGTGGATGTAAGTCAAGGGGCTACCTGCGTGTCCGTGTGTCTGTGTCCACCTTTCTCAGCCTGGGACCCTTCAGTTGGGTTGGCTGGCATCTTCCACCATATTTGCTGGCTTGGTTATCTGAATCCATCCCTCATATGCCGTATAGGAGATTTCTTCGACTAATCTGAGCTGGAGTTGGTGCAGCCTGGGTACACAAAATCAAAAGCCAGGGGGAGCAGGAAGAGTGAGGGGACTCTGATTTCCCGAGTGCTGGGGAGGTTGTGATTATTGTTGTTGTTATTTCCCCCCCTCCCGCCGCCTCCTTGTTCTGCCAGAGCAGCCATTTGTGCTAAGAGATGAAAGGGCAAACCGTCTCTGTGCCTTATTCTCAACCCCCCTTCTCCCCCCTTTTTTTGTGGCTTTCCCGAAAGCCCATTGGTTGCCGCCTGAGATATCCTGAGAGATGTGGCAATTAATTTTCTTTTAATCAAGGTCGGATGAAGTAAATTGGTGCGGCTCTGCAGCCCCTCATTTTCTGTTTTTGCAGTGATGCAAAACAAATCTGATCAAATTATGCTCCTTCTCACCTTATTGAATTAGGAAGCGTGACTGATCTAGAAGAGCTGAGACGCTCTCTATACCATGCCGCACGTGCTCCATTGTCCTCCCTTCCACCACCCCACCACCTCCAACCTTCTTCAGAAGGAAATCCATAGTGAAGAACAGTAGATTGGCATCTTCTTCTTCTTCCATTGGATGTTTCCCCCCCCCCCCCCTTTGCAAAACCTAAAAGAGAAAGCAAAGTTAGAATTTTTGCAGGCTGGGCACCAGGCTTGAAAAGTCTCCTTCTCCAGTCATTCTCTGGCTTACTTCAACAGGAAGGGAAGCCTGGAAAAGGCCTTGAGGAGAAGGGCAATGAGAGAAGGCCAACACATTGATATCAACATATCTCCATCAAGCCCAGAATCAGGATTTTGACTGGCAGGATTTGAAGCAGAGAAAGTTTTTTTCCCATGATAGTTTGCCTTGCTGGATCTCTGGCTGAAGATGTTAGAAGGAGAAGTAACAACTTTCCAAATGCAGAGCAGGTGCCTGACTAGTAAATGTGAATCTCTCCTTTAAAACCATTCTGGGAAATTTATTTGGAACTGTTGTTTTCCTCTTGGGATGCTTTTGTTTCATGAGAAAAAATAGGTTCCAGCTGGTAATCTGGAAGTATCTCAGACTGATTCTAACCTGACCTGCTACGAGAAAAACATGTCCCCCGTCCGTTGGAGATTTTGCATATTATTATTTTTGTTCTCCTAATCAAAAATGAATGTCATTCTGATTGACAACAATGTGTCTGGAAAACATAAATCAGGCCAAAATTGCTACAGGATGTAAGCAATGTTTTTAGTCACGTCACAAGCGTGGAAATCAGGATGCAGAGGTTCTTCTTTTGAGAGGCCAAGCTTCTAGTCCACAAAATCAGGAACATAGATTCTCGAAAATATGTAGGAAAGGTCTGCTGAAACTTCAAAAGGGAGGTTGAGCAGAATTTCTAAAGTGCAGACTCTTGAATATTTCACTGCCCTTTCCTAATAGTGCAGGAGAAATAATGCAGAGGAAAATCTACAGAGCTTAACTGTTCTATTAATTTACAAAAATGTATACATGTAATTCAGCCTGTTCTTGCTGGACCCAGAATTCAGGATTCTTATATACTTATATTCTGTACACTTATATGTGTGGAGTCACCTATGTGTCTACACATTCAATACATCCCTAAATATATATCCCTACAATAAATATTCTCTCTCTCTCTTTCTCTCTCTCTTACTCTTCCCCCGCCCCCTCCAAAATCTTGGGATTATAAAGGTCCAGAGCAGCTTTTGAACTGGTTGCAAATGATGTCCATAATTACCCAGAGTTTTGAGTGCCGCAATACCTGGTTGAAATCAATATTCTTCCCCTTGGCATGTTATAATTATCCATCTTGACTCACTGGGTGGATAAAGAGATCAAAATAATCGGGTGTGTAAATTTAAGCAAACCCTTCAGCAAAGGCCGTGGCAGGTACCCCGAACAAAATCAACTTGTAGATTGATCTTCAGCTAAACTTCTGCTATGGCTGTGTGGGCTTCAGTGCTCTTCCTACAATCTCCCTATTAAACAGAAGATCTCAAAATATTCAGAAAAGTCTCCAGGAGACGATAATCTCTCAGAAGATATTCCGGAAGGGTTGCTGTATAATCCACATTTTTCAAAGCAAATTTCAAAGGACGTCCCAGTGTCTGCTGGAAGCCTGGGCTCATGTGGAATCCCAGGACTGCAGTCCAGGTCTTTGCAGATTGTGTAATGTTTAGCATTGTGACTCATTTGTTTTTTTTTTGGGGGGGGTCTAAATATTATTCTTCAAAGAAATAATTATTTGTCCCAGATACTGCATATGCTCCAACTTCACATCATAATTTAGCTTCTATCTATGACAAGTGCTGATGAGAGCCAACGTGTTGTAATGATTAAAGTACTGAGGAAATCCAGGATTTGTTTCTGCCTTAGGGACAGAAGCTGGCTGGGCCACTTTGGGCCAGGAACGCTCTCAGCCCTGTCCTAGGAAGTGGGGAAAAAAAATAACAAACCGCAGCATACAATCCTGCTTAGTTGGACTATTACTTTAAAAATCGGTTCTATTTTATGACAATGAAAAAGGGGCTGTCAAAAAAAGTAGAAAATCGTTTCAATGGTCAAACAGAATAACAAGAGTCGGAAGGGACCTTTGAGGTCTTCTTATCAACCCCCTACTCAAGTAGGAAACCCCATACCATTCCAGACAAATGGTCGTCCAATCTCTTCTGGAAAATCTCTAGCGATGGGGCACTCACAATTTCTAGAGGCAAGCTGTTCCACTGGTTAATTGTTCTCACAGTCAGAAAATTTATCCTTAGTTCTAAGTTGGATCTCTCTTCTATAAGTTTCCAACCATTACTTCCTGTCCTGTCCTCAGGTGCTTTGAAGAAAAGAATCACCCCCCCTTTCTCTGTGATAGACCCTCAATTGTGAGAAGACTGCTATTGTGTCACCCCTAGTCCTTCTCTAGACTAGACATACCTAGTTCCCGCAACTGTTCATCGTATGGGTTAGGCTCCCCTAATCATCTGCATTGTTCTTGTCTTTCTAGAGCCTCAGCGTCTTTTTTGTATTGGGTTGACCAAAACTGGACGCCATATTCCAAGTGTGATCTTACAGAAGCATTATAAAGCAATTCTAACATTTCAAGTGATTTTGATACTATCCCTCTGTTGATGCAGCCGAGGGCAGATTTGAATCTGAATCCCCAACACTTAAAAGACCCAGAGCCTGTAACCCATTGGGTGGCCCAGTTGCAGCTTGATGGGAATAGACAGCAACCACAGTCTTGCAATTGATGCAAAAAGAAAAAAGAACAGATCTACTTTGCTATCTTATCCTCAAGTCTATCAAGTAGGCATGTCCATAAAACACCCTGAAAATATATTTGATTCTTTTTGGATTTAGGAAACAGAAAGATTTTGCAAGCGGTTACAGATCACAAGAACTGCACCCACCTTTCCACATATTTATCCCAATAATCATGATCACAACCACACCTCATGCTAACTGTGGTATCACTTTCCTATTCGCTGTTCAATCTCTTCCATGCTTTATGGCTCCATCTCTCTCTTCTCCTTCCATTTCCTTCACGCTCCACGTCTTTCAGGCACTTGAATCTTCAGGCTGTGTCAAATACATTAGGTTCTCGCAAGGAGCTGCTGGAATAGGGGGAGGAGGAGGAGGAGGAGGAGAAAGTCTAACATTCCAGGTCAGCAAAATCCACCAGCTCTGATTTTTTGGCACACGCTCTTGTTTCTGTGAATCACTGTCCATTTCCACTTCTGATGAGTGCTTGAGATGAAACTTAGAATCTTTATCACTCCAAGAACAGAGAACTAATGGCCCAACGAACAAACCAAGCCTTCTGGCAAGATTGAGCCTCTCCTGGGATCTGAGAGCAGTGCAGCTGTATTTTGTGTTTTCATCTTCTCCAAGAAAAGTGTCTTCTTTGGGCCTCTCGTGCTACCAAATTGCTCAAAGCCTGTTCATATCTTACAAAGCATAAAAAATGTAAGTCTTGCTGCAGTTATTCAGGAGGATCTTTAAAATGCATAGTAGAAGCTCAGATCCCCCCCCCCAGAAGGTGTCTCCTTACTACTTTATTTGTATCACATGAAGACTGCCTTATCTTGAATTCCTATAATTTTACAGCCATAGTGGCATTTTGAATATCTTTTACAGTATCATATGCCAGTTCATCTAACATTACATCCTTTGTATGTAAGTCCCAGATGTTGCAGACTTTCTGCTTGGCTTTCAAAATAAAATGTTTCTAAGAGAACTCGTTTAGGTAAATATATAAGGCTTGCACTAGTTCCCAATATAAATTCCCAACTTTGATCCTCGGGCAGTTTTTGCTCTCATCTCCAATTAATATGGCCAGTAACCCAGGTGGATCAGAGTTCTGTCCCAACAACATCTGGGATTGTTTGAGGTCTACCCTCTTAGAATATCACAAAGCTTACAATTAAAATATGATCACAACAGATACTGGGTGCAAAGTGTTTGTCTCTTGTGTGTATACACACCTACGCATATATATGCAAGAGCCTCACCCTCAGAAAGATTTAAAAATAAAAATATTTCTAAGACAGCTTAAAAAGGAAGGGAACTTGAAGAACACCAAAGTTGATTTTAAGGTTCAGGTCGGTTAGAGTAGTCAAATTAAGAATACTGCTTTTATTTTAAAGTCCCTTGACTTGCTTTCAGTCGTAATATTCATAACTGTTTTTTGTTACTTAAAAAAGATGAGGTTTCCTTTTTTGTTGCTGTCGTTGTCACACAGGTAGCCCTTGACTTGCAACAGTCCACTTAGTGACGGTTCCAAGTTACAACAGCACTGAAAAGAGTGACTTGTGACCATTTTTCACACTGTTGCAGGGACCTTGGAGGTCATCTAGTCCCACCCCCTGCTCAGGCAGGAGACCCTATCCCATTTCAGACAAATGGCTGTCCAGTCTAGTGAGAGCTGTAGACAGGGAGTGGAACCATGCACACCAGAAGTGATACCTGGGCTGTCGAGATGGAAGATCAGCGCAGGAGGCCTTCCACCTGAATTTGTATAATGCCATTTTTGGGCTTTTCCGGATGATTTTTACAAGAAGAATATGTGCCTTATACAGTTACGGGGAAGTGAGGCAGCGCGAAGGAGAAGCAGACCGCCCGCGCTCCTTCGCGAGCCAGGAAGCGGTGGGAACACGTCTCTCTGCTCGAACAGAAAGTCTAACTCTTAATGAGCAAACTGCCTGCGCAGCATTAACTGACTCGAAGAAAACTGTTGGTGAGGGGGGTCATTTTCGTGAAGGAGAGGCTAATTTTTTTTTTTTTTTTTTTTTAATCACCGAAGGGATGCCCTTCATTCGCACGGCAGGATTTTTCTGGTGTCCCACCGAAAGTGGCTTCCTGCCACTTCCTACTTTGGAGGGTCATTAGCAAAAATCATTAGCTATAATACAGCCTCCCCCATAAATCTCCACCCCTCCTCCTGCACCTGGAACACTTGTCCGTGCCTAATTTCCATCTCCCTAATTTTATGATTTGTCCCTCATTTGATAGAGGCGCCCATTAATTGTGTAGTAAGTGCTTCCAGTGAAAAGGCTGTAGGGCTGACCCCATCTAGGGAAGGCATGACTTGGTCTTTCCCTCGACCCCCCCCCTTATCACGGTAGGATGAAGTTCTGCTGAAATATAATAATTTCCCCTTCAAAAGGGCATCGCTCCGAATCTTAAAGGCACAGAGGCGTTTTCCTGAATGGACTGCAGGGAACAGGCAGGTGGAAGAGAAAAATGTAGGGGAGATAAAACTTTGGGGCAAAAGGCAGGAGAGCCCGCCAAATTAGGCTTTTGGTTTCTTCGGATGATCTTTAAAGGTTGGCAAAATAAGGCAAGAAACACCTATTCCTTGACATCTCTTGCTTTGGGGACTGTTAGGGATTGTGGGGAAAGATCTTGAGGTTAAGCTGTGATTTTTCTCAAACGTGTGAAGTTATGATTTTTTTTTTTAAGCCTCAAGTTTGTTATGCACCTGTCCTATAGAAAGAAAAAAAAGGATGGCGAGGATATTAGGTGTACAAACATTGAAGGCTTATGGCAGTGATAGTGAACCTTTTAGAGACCGAGTGCCCAAACTGCAACCCAAAACCCACTTATGCTTCGTCGAGTGCCGGGTAGGTGTGGCCCATTGGGCGGGTGTGGCCCATTGGGTGGGCGTGGCTGCGGTGGTAACGGCAGACTGGGTGGGACTAAAAAGTTCAATCAATCAATTCCAAGATCTTTTGCAAGATCTTTTTTTTCTGCGAGAAGTTGAAATTGACTGATTGATTGAATCTTTTTTTTTTTTGCACATGGCGGCAGAGGCCCAAAACGAAAAGGTTTTATAAAACCCAGCTGAAGGCCTAGGACTGGGGCGACGGCGCGCGTGCCCACAGAGAGTGCTCTGAGTGCCGCCTCTGGCACCTGTGCCATAGGTTCGCCACCACTGGCTTATGGAAACCAGGACAGTAGTTCAGGATCCTGGGTCGATCACCAGGACTCTTCCAAGCTTTCAGGCACATTTGCCCATCCTCTCTCTCCAGAAGGTAACCAACTCAGACTGGATCCTACATCGTCATCCTGGGGCACATATATTTGCCTTCATCCGCAGGACAGCAATGTTGATATACTTACGTCAAAGTCTTTTATTTCACTCTAATTAAAATAGCTAAGTGTCAGTATAATCCAGAATTTGTGAAGCCGTGTTATATAGAGTAGGATCGTTGGCTGCTCTAGTTTTTGGGTTGTGTACTCTCAAGGTAAACCTTCCCTACCGGTAAATGCCAAAATTTGCAAACTAGCAAATGTAAACATCTCAGTAAATAAGAGGTGGAGCCCAGATGGAATATAATTGATTTCATAGGTTTGCCCGCTGAAAAACTGGTATGGCTGGTCCTTCTTGCAGAGGCTTAATAAAAATAAAGTCTCCCTTGAATGGGGGTGATTTCATGGACATGTCCATGCAGTTGTCTGGACTGTGTTACAGAAGTAGCTTGCCAATCTTTCTTGTGGGATGTTTTGTCTCCTGGGACTATAGAGTAGATCGGCAGGTAGAAAATTCTCCTGAGATTTCCTGGGAATCTTTTATCCAAGTAACTAGATCCAAGACCTGTTCCATTTTGTTTGCTGAATCAAGGCTCCACAAAGCAAAATTTCTAATGGGGAATGTTTGGGCTTGGACAACCTCATCTGGATGGTTATGGCTTTTGAAATAGTTGGTCAAAATCAGCATTTTAAAATGAGCCTAGACCTGTGGTGGCGAACCTATGGTACGCATGCCAGAGGCGGCACGCAGAGCCCTCTCTGTGGGCATGCGTGCCGTTGCCACAGTCCTAGGCCTTCAGCTGGGTTTTATAAAACCTTTTTGCTTTAAGCCTCCGACGCCGTGTGCAAAAAAAAGAGGTTCAATCAATCAATTTCAATTTTTTCTCATGGGAAAAAAAAGATCTCGCAAAGTTGGAATTGATTGATTGAACTTTTTAGTCCCAATAGCAGTCTGCCATTACCACCGCAGCCATGCCCACCCAATGGGCCATGCCTGCCCAATGGGCCATGCCTGCCCAATGGGCCACACCCACCCAATGGGCCATGCCCACCCAGCACCCGACAATACATAAGTGGGTTTTGGGCTGCAGTTTGGGCATTCGGTCTCTAAAAGGTTCGCCATCACTGGCCTAGACACTGGCAGCCAATAAGGTGGGCGTACCACAGGAAGAAGGTAGTCTGAAATTCAGATCAAGCGGCTGAATGTTCCAGTCAAAGGAGATCACAGGTAATCTTGTCGGATGAAAATTCTGGAAGTTGTAGACCTAACAGTATAGGGAGACACCAGATCGGAGAAACTAATCATAATCAGTCCCAAGGTAGTTATGCTGGGTTGGCACCCTCATATGCAAGATTGCAGGTGAAAATAAGTAACCGTCATTGCACAACATGCCTCAAGGAGGGACTGTGTATCTTTTCAAAATGATAGTCTATGACCATATCTCAGCTTGGTTGTAATCCAGGTTTCCAGTCTAGGGAAAAGGGAGCAGGGTTCAAAATGGAGAAGGTTCTAGAGAAACGAAGACATCGTAGGACCTGGTGGGCTGCTCAGATCAGCCATTGGAACGACACCCTTGTGCTGCAGAATCAGAGCAACTAGAGCAAGGGTCTTCAAACTTGGCCCTTTTATGACTTGTGGACTTCAACTCCCAGGATTCTTCAGCCAAAGGAGTGTTCAGGCTGAAGAAGTGATGTAATGATCAGGACCTGTTTGAATTGTTGAGTTTTCACGGACAAGTTGGAGTCATTGGCAACATCCCTTAAGTACCTTAAACAGAAAATGTACAAAACTGCCTGCTCTTTGGTGTACATTACTCACCAGTACTTATCAATATACAGATAATGCAAGGGTGGGTAAACATTCATCGGTCAACTCACATGAATCAGTGTGTGTGTGTGTGTGTTTGGGAAGTCACAGATTCTTGTGAATTCATATCCTTGCCGCTTGCCTCCTGTGCGACTGTTTTTCCTCTGCCGAATGTCAGAATCAGGTTTAGTAGCAGCTGTGGGAAAACCAGCTGCTAAACAGGGTGCTTCATTTTCACTCCAGGCCTCACAGTTGCTTATTTCCACAAAAACAGCAGCATTTTCCTCCAAAGACTCGCTATTCAAACCACACTGAAGATGTGTGTCCCCCCCTCCCAAACAGAGACAAACATTTGCAACCTAATTTTCAAACCCAGAGATCCAACCCATAAGATGACAATAGATGTTTTTGTCCAGCAGCAGCTCATCCCAAATCTTGTTCTTTTAAGCATAGTCCCTTCCCTTCTCTTTCCCGGAAGTAGGTCCTTACTTTGCCCCAGGAAGCCAAATGCAGCCCAAAATGCATTTGCTTTTTTAGGGTATTTGTCGATATTATTTTTACCTGTCCTTATGGCAGTTTACCAAATTTGCAAGTTAGAAATAACAGGCCAAAATGAACGATTTAACCCATTTATTAAAATCAATTTCTGCAGATGCA